TTCTGATTAGTAATTGAATTCTCCATAATCAAATCCGAATCACATAATAACATGTACCCGACAGATCTGTCCGGCTACCATTTTTTGAGGGTGACGCTAGTGTCGTTCCACATGGAGGCTTGTGTACTGTCATATGACTTTCTTGAGACCGGGCGCACATATTTCAAGTGTATTGTCATGGCATTACCAATTAGGCAAGTAGCCACGGTCCCACAATGTAGGACTCCCGACTTCGAGGTCCGCAGTCCTTATCGCCACGGTTTCACAGATTTATTTCCTGTTATAATTAGACATTCTTATGCATGAATCTTGTTCTTTTCTTTCAACCGTGGTCCTAGCAGAGTCTTGCAACCAGTTGGATTTGAACTCGTGGCTTTGCGATTATGCTTCCGAGCACTAAGCACTGCACTATCGACCCGGGGTTTTCATTTATTACAAAATACTTAATTATGAAACCCCTTATTTAGTGCACCTATCGACTTTAGCACACATCGAAAAGCATTGTTTTACTAATTCTCCCCAAATAAGTAAAATACGGCAAGGATTAGTAACTAGGTCTCGTGACTCCTTATTAAGATACCGTGATGTAATCCTGAACTCTAATTGAGCTTAGTTAATTAAAGTAGTTTAGTTGGTTTTAGTGTGGATTAGGCCACTCCAAATTAATTAGGTGGTTTACATTTCATCTTCACTTTAGAGGGGGGTGAAGGGTTTCAAAGGGTTCACATTTATAGGCCGATATTCATCTGATTGGCTGACTGATTCAGTTGCCCAGGTAACTAATTTATGTGCTTTAAAGTACTTTTTAGGAATTCGATGTTTCACTAACAAAAAATATTTTTTTAAAACATACATAGCTTCGAAAGGACGCTAACAACTATTGTGCAAAATAATCAAGAGGTTATCAACATTCTCAAGAACTTTACTCAGAAGTAAGTATTTCGCTATTTATTACTATGAGGTTTAAATGCTGAAAATAGTCAACTAAAAAGGCTAATTGAAACATTACATGTAAGTTTTAATCTTGAAAATCATAATGTAAAAATATTATTAGCATGTTACTTTACGTAGCAATAATTTACTTAATACTTACTACATATATTGTGTATTAATATTATGGAGTTAGAGCGTTGGGTAAGTTGTTGTAATCGTAGTTGGGTTTACTTTAGTAACAGATAGAGATGGGTAAATCACGGTTTTGCCAAAAAATCCCGCACGTGACGCGCGGGATTCGCAGATTGTTACCAAGATTGCCGTAAGTTTCGGCTGGAATTATGGCATTGGCCCGAATTATCCCGTGCATCACGTGATGAATCCCGCGCTTGCCCATCACTAGTAACAGATCATTGATTATATGAACTATTACGTCGAATCTTAAGCAGAGGTTCTGATAACTAAAAATAAAATAGAATTATGTTTTGAATGTAAAATTAAACGTAAAGCTTCGTTATTAATAATAATAATAAAAGTTTATTTGCGAAATTAATTTTTTGATTAATTTGATTGGTTAATTATCACGGAAAATCATGGGTGATCTACCAATCATACGAATGTCGTCCTATGAGGTTCACCTAGTAAAATTTTTGAAATTTTTTTTTCCAAAAAAATTCTCCGTAATGTTCCGTTCACTATAAAATTTTCCGAAATGACACGTAATCCTTATGTTATTTACTAAAAATTTTTTTACTATGAGGATGTAAACTACTGAATTAAATTAGGGTAGCTTTATGCTGTATTTGTTATTAAAGAGCCTTATGCAACGTACGTACATAACACTCCTGCAGGGTAGCAACCATACACTTATCAGAATGTAGTGATACAAATAACGGAGTGTGTGTTGTTTCGCTCAGAATTGGAAGAGAAACGTTTATGCATGCCAAATTCGCTCTCGATATATCAAGAATGTTGTGAAACAATGTACATGGTTAAACTCTGATTTTGTGTTAGTACACAAATTCTTGATTCGATTTAATATTGTAATGCCAATAGATCCTTAATCTTTGTATTGTTCTGACCGGGGAGAGACTTTACTCAAAGCCAATTTTAGCACAGGGTCACAAACATAAACGCAGTGTACGGACGCTGGGTTCATACGGTTATGACTATCCAACTGGTATGTGTCGGTTCTGATTGGGTATACGTGATACCTAGTGTCGGCAGTGTTGGCAACTGGGCTAATTTAGACATATAAAATTTTATTTGAACAAATTTGGACATATAAAATTTTTATATGTCCATGTCCAAATCTCCAAATGAAATTGACATAGTCCAAATGCCAACACTGAGTGTCAGGGCATAATTAGTGTAACGAAAAGCAATAACAATGTGCGTAATCTAAAAGCTTATCTCAGACTAATATAGAGTTTATTGTGGCCCCTCCTGATAATATGCATAATGCTTCCTTAAATATGTCGATTTATACAGTTTCAGACCAAGTGGTCGATCGAGAACTCTTATATCGAATTATAATGCACCAGTAGGTCGCTTGGAGTTGGGTACAGAGATCGGAAGTTTAATGAATGTAGTCGTGTATCATCTTTTGTTAGGTTCTTCACGGGTAAATATATTGTTCTATTTCTTCCGGCCAAATAGAAAGTGTTACTACTTTATTGATTTAAGCGATCTTGGATGATTTTTACCCCACACAACTGGCACAACTTTTCAGGTGCTTATATGCACAATAATAATCAGAATTGCATTGTAAATAACATTATACACAAAATTGGCTGAATTTATTGTGCTCATGACTTTCTTCATTTTATTATTAGAAAAAATTGTATCTTGTTACAATTTATCATCCAATTTTAACTTCAGTTTATTCTTTAATAAAACAATACCCCTGGTAACACATGACCTAAATATTTATTGCATATCACATATGTTGCCAACCAAATTTTTAATATACTGAATCTAGCAAATAATAAATACTTGAAGGCCAAATGTTTTGTTACCCCTGACAGCAAGCGAATAAACATTCTACAAGCTCAAAATATAAACTTTATTTACCTGATTTTTATAGTATATTCCGTTTTGGACCTCCAAAAATATTTAAATTCCATATTTCGTTATAATCTCAATTCTCACATCATTTTTGATATCTGATACTAAATTTACTTGAGCATAGTAATAGCAATTGTCATTATTAATTCGTTGTTTATTAAATTGACATTTTACAAATAAAATAGCAAAATGGTAAATGGACAGCAATATATTGATGAAAATTATCCTATCACAAGTCGTGGCAATATTACTGAGTTGGATCTAAGTAACAAAAATCTGGAAGGAACTATAACATTTAATAATAGTGGATTTATTAATCTTCTTAAACTAAATCTCTCTTCTAATATGATAACTAATATTCATTATGAATTACCTTCTATTCTACAAATTGATGTTTCCCACAATTTTCTTAGTAATACTCGTTCATATTCTTCCTCCACCATACGAAAGTTAAACTGCTCATTTAATAAGATAACTGTTTATAATCTCAATGCACCTAATCTTACTCATTTTGATTGTAGTAATAACTTAGTATCTTCATTAGATATCTCAAGTAATGTCTTGGAAGAATTAATCTGTTCACGTAATCCCATAACTTTAGTACCTTTGAACATTACTTCTAAACTTACATCCTTTGACTGTGTGGGAATTCAATTTAATAAAACAAGCACTATTTTAACTTCTTCACCAATTAGTCCCACATCTCCCAATTCCTTTAATACATCACCTAATTCTTTTGATAACTTTAGTTTAGTGGTAGGTCTTGGTTTTTTTTCAATTTTAAGCATTTTGGGGTGGACAATTTTAGGCATAGTTTTTATTTATAAGCGCAAACATAAGAACGTAATTCTAATTCCTGGTAATCGATAATTGGCTGGAGCGGGGTGTAAGACTTTCTTACTCTTTAAATTTGGTTGATGTTCGGTACCTACACCTGTAATTATAATAAATCTCGATTTTAATATATTCCATGTAGAAACTTAATTAATAAAAAAAGAAATAATATATTCATAACATCCATGTTATATAACTCCTATATAGTTTTAGTTGTGGTTAAGGTCCAGCTTTAAGATAAATAGGTGTTTTTTTATTATACAATATATATTAAATATAAGGTCCCGATTTCAGTTTTCATTAGGTTTTTGGGACCTGATCATTTTTACTTTGAGTGCCCGATCCCGTTTACTTAGTACATTTTTGAGATGTCACATAAGGTGTTATATAACATGGTGGTATAAATATAATTTTCCATCAAAAAATAAAATAATAATATATATATAAGTAATTTATTGTATCGAGTAAAATGGAAAAACGTAAAATAATATATGAACATAAACATAAGGTTGCAAATAATAAGCTAGGAGAAATATATTAGCTTCTGACACATGAAGAACCGTTATATTATCAAAATAATGAGTCAAGAAAAAGACAATTTGTCACTCGATCCTAAGTATCCTAGTATACAACATGAAATACACAATACGGGATTAGGGATGGGTTTGGTCAGTCATCGGTCGGTCATTACTGATTAAACGCTCATGACTGACGGAGCAGATATATCTGGTATGCTACTGGAAATTATTCTAACTGGGTAACTACAGAGGTTGAGATAACACGAATGTTCAAGTCTCACTGCTAGAATTTGCTCTTTACACACTAATGGGTAGGCTACGATTGAGGTGTGGATCGATTTGGTCCGAGAGTAGGGTGTCTCTTGATACCGTGGAGATCACGTGAACGATAGTAAGTCTTCCTCTTACAATTGAACTTGAGGCTTTTTGGATTAATACTAAACCTGTTTGCTATTATTAGATCTCTCTATTTACTATAAAATAGACTTCTCTAGTATTCAAGTGTGCCTGGATTCCAATATTACTTGTAGGTTTCGAATTTTGAGGTCATTGGTCACAGGATCACGATTTGGTGTGATGATGTATGTAAGTTTATTTAACAATAGGGTCAATCACAAACTTAATCAATTTAATAATTTTTATATAAAAGAGGTCGATTACTAATAAGATCTTTCTCTTTTAGTGAACTATCAATAACAGGTCTTTTACTAATCACAGGGACAAGACAAATACAATAACGTGAATGCTATAAGTGTCAATATGACTATAGGATACTTAAGGAACCACTACTATTATTATTTTGTAGTTGCGAACCCAAGAGGTGAGTTATCTTTATTGTAAATAAACTTTCATACTTTTATATACATTTTCTTTACTATTTATTTTTCTAAATATCTGCTTTATCTATCCTATATACTAGACCTGCTCCTTTTGTTATATCTGTCATTTCTGTTATATTTATCAGATTTGGCAGATTCAGGTCAATTTTGATTAAATTGATCAAATCATCTTAGTATTGATTGCCTATTTTCTCTTTTATACTAGTTAACTATAATCAATCATATGTAATCAATTGCTTGATAGTTGTTTGAGAGATATAGATAAATTTGACTAAGTTAATGCAGAATTAAAGATAGTTTTGATTAATATATAGGAGGATAGTAGTTAAGGAGGCAAAGATTTTAGAGTAGTTGAGTTTTGTGAAAAGAATTGTTGTAAATGTTAAGATAAGTTTTTTAAGAATTTCTTTGAGTATATTGAAAGGAATAGTAATTACTTTGTTTGTATTGAGATTAGTTTTTTGGATAAATTCAATAAGGAATTCAGGTCTGCCTCTAGCTATTTTGTGAATGATGTGATAAAAGTTGGTTTTAAAAGCCTTTTGTTTAGAAGTTTCAAATTTGATTTCTTTGTCAGGTTAGAAATCATGTAGATAGAATTTAAGAAAATTAAAAATTTTTCTTAGAAATTTTGTTTGAAATTGTGATTTGTCTTTTATATTGTTAGTTATTGGAAAATTGGCAAGTCAGTTAAATGTTAAGTTGGTTTTAATTTTTTGTTGATTATTAGCAGTATTAGTTTGTGTTAGCTGTTTTTGTTGGTTATTTGTTTGTTGCTATTATTGTTGTTGTTCCTAAGAGTAAGGTAGGTTTTGAAATAGTGGCTGTTGCTGTTATTAGTATTGTTGTTAATTATTATTATTAATTATATTATTGTTCAGTTCTATATTATTTGTAGTATTGTTATTGTTGTTAGGTGATGTTGTAAAGATAAGTTCAAATGCAAGTGGGTTGTAAGAGCTTATTATTTGTTAAAGTTTTTGAATAAATGTAGGAGAAGAGCTTGATTGTTGAGTGAATTGTTGTATGCTAGTACAGGCTTTATAACAAGGTTTGTCATTATATAAAGTAGCATCAGTTGCCAGGTAATGTTGGTTATTCATTTTTTTACAAGCAATTGGTAGATTATATTTAGTACAGAGGTGGTTATATATAGTAGGTAAAGGTGATTCTGTAGGTGAAGGCAGGACAAATTTAGTAGAATTTGAAATTGTGTTTGCTAAGATTTTTGATCTTTAAGATTTTTAATAACATTTGTAGTTTCATATTATTTGTAGGTTTGAATAGTTATTGAGATAAAATGTGTGTGATATTTGCCACAAAAGCATGTGATAACAGAGCTAGATTCAGGTGCTTTAAAGTAGTAACTGCATTTGGTACTTTCTCTAAGTTTAGTAATATTGTAATTTTTGGGTTGTTTGTTTGCAGGAATAGGACAAGATAAGTTGTTACATCTTTATGAATACCAATTTTAAAGCTTTTAGAACACTTTTGGTAAAAATAATCAAGGTCAATAGTATTAGGTGCAGTTGTTATAAGAATTGGCATTTTAATCTACAAATAGATTATTAGATATGTTTTTTAAAAAAATTTGTTTATTTAAAAGTTTTTAGACTGAACTGCCTAATATTAAGTTTTTAAGTTCAATAATTAATTTTAAATAATTTTAATAACTGTTATTCTGACAGGTTATCTAATACTAATTTATAAACTCTCTCAATCTCTATAATCTCCAAATTGCTATTTTTAATTACAGTTTAGAGTAGGATAATAGGTTGACAAAACCAGATTAAAAGTCAGTTCACAAAAAAAAGAGTTATCTTTTTTTCTGTTTATTACAATACTTAAATACTCAAACCAATTTAACATACAAATGTTATTATTACTAATTTGATTAACTAACTGTAACTATTCTCATAATTCTTTTACTAATATAGCTAATATATAAGAAACCTACATTACTACAAAATTACTTATATAACCATAATTGGGCATATTACATGCCTAATTATAAGCAAATTTAAGACAAAAGCTGCTTGATACTATTATATTAAATAGATTTATGATTCAAAAATAATTTACCTGACTATTATTACTAGAGATGGGACACTGTATAGGTGAAATAGTTTGAAAGCTTGGAATTGTTCAGAATATACTAAAATTTAGCAATTCTGGTCTGCATTAGCCATAATGTAAGTTTATGCAGGCTGTGCAGTCTGCATAGTAGATTCAAAAAATCTTTGATTTTCTTATTTTTAGACATTATCATAATATAATATGAACTATGCTCATTAACATATTCAGCTAATTGCTAATTAGAATTTGTTTATACATATATACTTTTTTTGTTATCTGTATATTTTGCTTATGTATCAAAAAAATTTTTTTAAGTTACTCTTTTTAAAAATAAATATAACATGCATGTTAATAATAATGTTTAAAATCATCTTACAAAAATTAGACCAAATAAAAGCTTTAACATAAAAATAGTTAATGTAATTACTATAATTAAATCTTGTAAAAATACATGAAAATTTATTGTTTTAATTAGCTAATGGCAGCAATTAAAATTTTAAGCAAAATTACTCTAATTTTTATAATGAAATTGTTAGTGCCTATTAAGTGAAATTAGGATTAGAAAAATTACTGTAATTTTATATAATTTTAGTAATTTTATATATGTTGTGCTAGTTTTTGAAATTAAAAATTACATATAATTTTGATAATATATGTATCAATTTGACTAGTAATAAACTTCATGCAATGTCTATCAAAGTTCAATAATGATAGCTAAATTTTTCATAGTGCTAGCACAAATGTTGTTAAATGAAATCTAAGAGTTTTATTAAAAAAAGATTAAAATTACAAAATGACAAAACTGACAAAACTAACAAAAGGTAACAAAACTGACTAAAGATGATAAAACTGACAAAAGATAATGAAATTGATAAAAGGTGATGAAAGGTAACAAAACTGTTAAAAAGTAATAAAATAAAATTTATTTAAATAATTATTTTTTTTACTAATAATAAAAAGTGGTTAAGTAACAAGTTAAGTGTTTTTTACAAATATATACTTTTAATTAGAAATTTTTTTTTATTAAATCTAATTGATTACTTATTTTTATATTTATAATAGATGTGAATAGTATTGGCATATGAAACCTAAGAGTTTCAATGCAGACAAATAATGAAACTAGTTTTGACTTTTGTTAAAAAAAAATCAAAATAGTGAAATAGTAAAATTAGTAAAAAGTAGCAAAACTGCAAAATTGGTGAAACTGCTAATAGGTGGCAAAATTGAAAAAAAAGTAATAAAATAGCAAAAAAATAGTAAAACTAGCAAGAATAAAAAGATAATTAAAGAGAATTAAGTTTTTTTATATAATTATCAATATTTTTATTTATATATATAACATAGCATTATACTTTTATTTATTATATATTAATTTGATTGGCTAATTTTGTTGATCATTATTATATAAATTTAATAAAAAAATAAATAAAATTTTAAACTTTTTTAAATTTTTACTAATAATATTATAAAAATAGACAGCTCAGTCTGTTCAGAAGTCTTAGAGAATTTGATCTTTATCAAGTTTTGAATTTTCCTAAAGGTTCAACTTTAGCAGAAGTTTTATTAAAGTTTTGTTGTTTCTTCAGATTTTCATTAAGTTTTATCTTTTCTGAGTTTAGTTTAATTTTTCACTATTTGTTAAAAATAGTTTTGCTTATTGCACTATTTTATAAACTGTAATTGTATAATTAGAATTGCATATAGATAGAAATAGGCATATGCAGGATTTTTAATATTGAAATTAGTCAATACAGTAAGTTAGTTACTCTACAATCTAAAACTTTATATAACTTATAGTTGGCTTAGTCAAAAGAAGATGTCTAGATTTGGTCAGTAGTTTGGATTCATAAGTAAGTATTTATTTTTTACTTCTATTGTTATTTTTTTTCTTGAGCTATCTACTAACTTTAATTTTCAATTACCTAATTATGTTAGGTAATTAGACAACATATATAACTATAATTATTACATTTCTTCAGATTGTTGGCTTTAAGTAACTATGTTGATTCTGGTACTTTAGGATACAACAGCTAAATATAAATATAACAGTATATTGATATAGAACAGACAACTTCAAGAAGCAGGTTTTTATAGTTTAAGATTTATTGATTGGTTAATATAGCAAGAAAAACATTTATATATTTATTATAATGTAAGAAACCAGTTATTATTTTAATAAAGCAAAGTTCTTTTCATCTTCTTAGAACCTTTATGACTTTTATTTATCCTAAAATTCTTTATCTATATTTGATATTTTATGTCTATCACATTTACTATTTCTACTACTTTATTTCTAACTTATATATATCTAACATGGCCTTCATGCTTTACATAGCTGTAATAGTCTATATAGCCAAAATAGACTGAGTAGGCTAGGTTATTCTAATTTGAAATAGCCATAATTATATGTTACATAACTTAACTAGATAACAATATGATCCCAAAATAAAATTATCTAATCAGTATTATTATAACATCTAACTAGTATCAATACAATATCTATTCTCATTAACATATTTTGCTAATTTTTAATTAAAATTTATTTAGTTATTTATATACTATTTTACACATATGTTTATTTAGATATATAATAAAAATTTGCTTTTTTTGCTGTTGATACTTTTACTTACATCACAAAAATACTCTTTATAATTAAGTTACTTTTAAAAATAAATATAATATGCATAATAATAATAACATTTAGAATTATTTTATCAAAATTAGATTAGATAAAAACTTTAACTAAGAATATGCTTAATGTAATTACTATAATTAAACCTTACAAATAATATATAAAAATTTACTATTTTGATTGGCCAATAGCAATGACTAAAAATTTAAGCAAAATTCTTAAATTTTTAGTAAAGAAAATATAGCTATGCATTAAGTAAAATTAGAGCTAGAAAAATTTGTAATTTGATGAATTTTGCACAAATTTTTAAAAAAACTATAATTTGGCCATCTTTATATATAGAGTTTTATTATATATTAATTGTAGCACCTAAAACTAAAATTTTAAAATATTTTAATATTAAATTTTAAAATTTTCAAGATTATTTTTTTAGAGTTGAATTAGAATTTAAAGTTAGTTTTATTAATAAAAGAATACAAATAAATTTTGGTAAGTATTATAAATTTAAACAAAAACCTTCTAATCTTATTTTAGCTAATTTTAGCTTTAGCTGCACATTAATTTTTCTTAATTTTGCATATAGGCTTATTTATCTATATATAGAAGGCTATATTTTAATTTTTCTTAATTTATATAAGGAATATAAATGTTAATTTATTATACATATATTACTATATATATATATACTGTATATATATAATAGTAATATAAATGTGCCACTTGTGAACAGAGTCACAAGGCGGCAATTTATCGTGAGTCAGTCACATTATGCATGCAGGGATTGTTATTGGATAGAATGTAAATGCGGACTTTAAATAAGCATATAAGTAGGTTCAGCCATTAGTGTGTGTTTTTCTGTTTTGTTTTTTTGCTCGACAGTATTGTCTGGCAAAGTCGCCCACACAAGTATTGCCATACTTTTATAATTGTAATAAATGCGTAAATTTTTACCTTATAAAGTGCTCTTTTGAGCTATCAATAAATTGCTTTGAGTGTTACAAACATGTCATGTAAAAACTCACCACCAGCAAAGGAAGATACTATTATGTTGGATAATATGGATAGAGAGAGTGTAGTTGGCCCAGAAGCAGGACCTTTAGGAGTAAATTGGAGTAAGCTCAGACTAGTTGATTTGCAAGCTATGTGTAAAAGATGCAACCTACCTTCTAAGAGCACCAAAACAGAGTTAGTTGAAAGGCTAGAAGATTTCTGGAACGAGTCAGAAGAAGTAGAAAAACTACAAAAGGGTAAGCAGAAGTTGGTAGATGAGGGCAGCAACAAGGAAAGTGTTTAACCAAGTAGCTCCGAATGGCAAGAGTATGATATTTTGAGGTTTATGGAAAACAGACTAAAGGAGAAAATTGAGTCTAAATTTGAGAGTGCAGTGATGGCAGTTCTGGAAAGAAACCTTCAACAATTTGCATCACAGTTTAGAAACCTTCAAGAAGTATTAGTGGAGACTAAGTTCCTGGAAAAGAAATTTAAAAGGATGAGAGACCAACACGAATATGATTTTGTTTGTCAAGTTGGCAAGCTACTCACTAAAGCTATTCAGGAGGAATCGATAGTGAGGGTACATGAGGCCTTTAACATAGTAAAAATAAGGGCCTTTACATTAAGAACTGCAGAAGACGAAGGCTGGAGAGTTGCAGCAAATATCCCAAAGCTTGCACCAACAGAAAAAGATGAGCTTCATGAGTTGTTGATAGAGGCAAGGAAACAGGCGAAGCCAAAAGAACATAAACCTTTCCAGAGTTTCAAGAATAGTTACAATAGGGGGGTTATTTATCTAAAGGGCCTAGTTCACAACGTTTTACACCATACCCCCAAGTACAAGATTTACGACAAGGTCAGTACCAACAGGCTTATCAGGGACATCAGAAGCAAGCCTTTTTTACAAACTCAGGACCTTCGTTCATGTCAGCCAACAAAAGAAGCAGTCAGTTAGTATGTTATTATTGTGGTGGTATGGGCCACATTGCATCAGCCTGTGCCTCTAAAACAGAAAGCAGTATTAGTAAAGAAGGATTTTTTGTAAAGGTCCAGAAAGCAGAGAAAACAAATCCTGACTACACTTAGGAGGAAATTCAGATAAAAAGGATGCTACAAGTGGAAAATTGGACAGAGAAAAGGAAGCTGGACTTAGAGAGGATAGTCA